GAGAGAGAGAGAGAGAGAGAGAGAGAGAGAGAGAGAGAGGAGAAAGACTGTGTAAATGGACATTCTTCTATACTGATGGTAGGGAACCAAAGTGTTCACAAATGTCCTAGAAGGTCACTTGTCATCAAAAGCTAGTGCTTTTGTCATTTTCCTGGAGTTTACTTACCAATTCTACTTCTAGGATCTTATTTTAAAGGAATACTATTAGAGCTTTACAAGAACGTTTTGCAGAATGTGTTGTATGGAAAAGTTGCAGAGAGCTAATCTTTACCATTAGGAGATAGGCTAAATGAACAAAAGTAGAAAACACAGAAATATGAAAAATATATGTCTGAAAGAGATGGAAAATGCTCAGATTGCTTTTCTAACTACACAGTTTCTGTGCAATAGCATCACAATTCTGGAACTGCTTTTCTTGCTCTGAGAAGCATGTCTTCATTATTACAATAACCAACATGTTCTAGTTAATTTTACTCCATGGTGCTTCCTATGTGGTCATGGTTTGAGCATTGTGATCTTGTTCCAAGACACATGAGTTACAAAGACATGACAATAGTGTCTTAGGAGACAGTGTTTCTCCATTGTTATCCTCTGCCCCTTCCTCTAAGTAAGAATTCTCTCATTTAAAAAAGGACAGCAGCAATACATACTTTAGAGAAAGCCATAAAAAGTCAAAGTAGATGCATGCAACAGATTTTATGCACAAAGAAGTTATATTTCTTCCAAGCATTTGTTCTGTGGGTAGTTGCTCTAAATTTTGGATAGCTTGTTCTAATGGACATCTCTTTTCATAAAAGGGGAAGATGCTTATTACCATGCACCCTCATCACAACTCCTGGTAAAATTTCAAAAAAATATATATTTTTTCCTAACAACATGCTTTTCAGGAGTTGGTCCCTTAGCAAGAGGATGTTTGCATGAGTCTGAGTCATGACATGGCCACTGCATGTCTCAAAGGGAACAACAATCCATGAGAATGTGGAAAAGAATGGTTACTAAGATGAAGGAAGCCCTACATCTTAGTCTCAAAATGACATTCAATAACTTCTGCTATTTTCTACTCACTGGAATCAATACAGCCAGCCCAGCCCAAGATAATCAGGAAGTGATCATGCTTGATCATCAACTCCAGAAGAGTTGTTAAGAGCATCAGAAAGCCTGGGATCCTGTTGACCAACACAGGAGAAAACTGTGTTAGATAAACAATCAATATAGTAAAAATGGCAATCTTGCCAAAAGCAGTCTACAGATTAAATGCAATCAGTACAATTCTTCACAGACCTTGAAAGAACAAGTCTCAACTGTAT